TAGCTAGCGTGGAGGGAGCGTATAGAGCAGGGGCCTAACCTGGTCAAGGGGAGGGTGAGGAAACAGCACTGTGTTACACGTCTGGTGTTGTGTAATCTGAAGGACAAAAAAATTCACGTTTCTGGAGTGTTACTGTTTTAGGTGTTTATGTCCAACAGAATCATTTTCACATTTCTCTGAAAAGTCAGTATGCTTTGCCACAAACAATTCGGGGACAACTGGAAATCCACAGGCAAAAGAATGTGGTAGCGTCACTTCCTCACATCATACACAAAAAATTAACCCAAAGTGGGTCATAGAGCCTAAGTGTAAGTTAAAACTGTAAAACTCTTGGGATATATTAGAGGAGTAGATCTTCATAATCTTGAGTTAGGCAAAGCCTTCTGACGACACAAAAGCACGACTGACAGAAAGAAAGAAATTAATCAGACTTTGTCAAAATGAAAAACTTGTACCACAAAGGATACTACCAAAAACTGAAAAGGACACCCAGGGGATGGGGGAAAGAAACCAGTTTTTGCCAAACATATATCGGATAAGGGATTGCATCCAGAATACATAAAAAATTCTCACAACCTAATAATAAAAGGCAAAAATCCAGTCTACAAAGGGGGCAAAGGATTTGGACAAACGCTTACTCGTGAGGATAGGTAAATGGGCGATGGGAGCACGAAAAGCTTCCCAACATCATCAGTAGAGAACGCAGATCAAAGCCACAACGAGACCTCGTGTGTGCTAGGATGGCTATAATGAAAAAAAGACACGATCACAGTGTTGGTGAGGGTGTGGAGAAACCCTCACACGCCGCTGGTGGGAAGGCCAACTTGGAAAGCGGTCCGGTAGTTCCTCAAAAGTTTGATATAAGGCTACCATATGGCCCTGCAATTCTGCTCCAGGTAGCTTCCCCAAATAAATGCAAGGTCCACAATAACTCGTACATGAATGTTCAGAGCGCCCATATTCGTACTCTCCCAAAAGCGAGAAAAAACAAATGTCCATCAACTAAATGGGTAAAATGTAGCCGCTCCATACAATGGAGTATTATCTGGAAATAAAAAGAATGAAGGACTGCTTCATGCTGGAATGCTGAAAACGCTTTGTTGAGTGAAAGAAGCCAGCCGCAGAAGACAACATATTGCTATTCCATTTTAATGAATTATCTGGAATAGGCAAATTGGCTGAGACAGAATGTAATTCAGCGGTTGCCTGAGGCAGGGTGAGGGCAGGAAATGGGGACTGACCGCTGGTGCACTTGTGAATATGGAGTTCTTTTGGGGTTATAAAAATGTCCTCAAATTGATTGGGGTGATGGTTGCACAACTGTGACTAAAGCCATTGAATTGTACACTTTAAGTGGATAGATTGTATGGTATATAAATTAAATCTTGACAAAGCTATTATTCTAAAAGTAAATATGTTTGATATATTCAAAATCTAATCTCCCTGCTTCCTTCCTCTCCCTCCCTTCCTCCCATCATTCCTTCCTTCCTTCCTTCCTTCCTTCCTTCCTTCCTTCCATCCGTCACCAAATTCATACACCTGAGATGGAATATGTTTAATCCATGGAATGAAGTATAATTATATTTTCAATTGGGTGATAAGAAATGATAGAAAACCAAAAATGAAACATTCTTTTAATTTGTGGAACTACAAAGAATATCTGAGGTGTAAGCAAGTCTCTTTAATGAGATTTATTCTTTTTTTCATTCAAAACATATTTATGGAACATTCATTACACATTTGAGAACTGTACTAGGTGCTATTTTATGATTTCAAAGCAACACGCACATGAGTGTATTTTTCATAGCGTGCACCTGAGACCAAGTTTCCCATGTTTTATAATAACCAGTCTGCCAAGGCTACGACTCCCTCCTTTCTAGCAAGTAGTTTACAAGAGCTGACTTTGGTCTATCACAAATTGCTTAAAAAGATTAAACACACAGTCACATTTGGACATCTCTGGACATTTACAGAAATGCAAAAACTTTCTTAGAAAATTCATGAAATTGCCACATGTCTTGAACAGTGAGTTTGTTTGACAGCAGTCTTGGGAATCTTAAGAGTCACCGGAATGGGGTGTGGAGAAGCCAAGTTTGCCCCCAGGGGTGCCTTTCCCCCCAGGGACTTGCAGAATTGCTGTGGTTTAGAGACAGCTGGAAGCTTGACCCAGCTGGGACCGGTAGCCGATGCCAGTCCGATGGCCTCTGGAGAAACTGGCGGATTCTGAAATTGCTGTCAGGAGTCTCAGGTCTACCGAGGTCAAAACAGAACCCAGCTCTCCGTAAGTCGATCCAGACCTTAGGTCAGTGTGACCTCTAAGTGCTGAGGCCCCACCCAGATCCCCTGAACCTGCATCTCTGGAAGTAGGCCAGATGATGCTTACAACCCTGGGAAGTTTGCAAATGGCCATGATGCCATGTGGATTACCAAATTCTCTTTAAAAGTAAAAAGAGTTGGGGCTCTATGATCAGGACTCTTTGCGGCTAGAAAGAATTCCCTGAGCCTGTTCTAATTTATGCTTAGTTCTTCAGAACTTAATTGAATTGGGTTCTGGAGATTAGAAATTGGGCGGGGAAAAGTAGCCATTCATCTCCTCTTTAATGTAAGGACCCTTCCTTTCATTTACCTTCGGTATTTTCACGTCCATCCACTTATCTTCCCCCTAGAATGAGCAGTGAAGTAGCAGCATAATCCAGGAGAAAAGTGTCTATATGTACTCAGATTTTACTCCGATGGAACAAAACACATTTCGAGAAAGAATTTTCCTGGGGAAAATAATGTAACTTTAAAAGAAAAATCAAAGGGAAAAAATTGTAGCCAAATAATTAAGCCACTAAAACGTATGCATTATCTTGGGGAAAAGTTTTTTTCTCCATTTAGTGAAATTTCTTTATTATTCACCAACACTCACGACTCCAAAAGTATCTTACTCTCATTCATCTATTCAAGATTATTTATTAACTACACTTTGTCAGGCAAATAACTGAAGTTTTATTCTGCAACTTGAAGAATTTAAGGATAAGTGAGGGGAATAATGGTAGAGCAGGAAAGACAAGTGTTAAGACCGTGTACATGTTTTCACTCTCTTGATTTTGATGACCCACTTTTAATCTTCTAGGGATATCTATCTTCTAGGGATCCCTCCTTCAGGAAGGTGGGCATCACTCAGTTCATTAGATCGCCATCCTTTCAGGAGAAAAGAAACTTTTGAACAACGGATGCCTGTTTCAACAGCCACTGCCAATGTTCTGAAAGCACCAATTTACTTTCAGCCATATAACAAAGGCCGATTTGCCTTCTTTCTAATTGATTCGATGGCTTGCTGGCACTTTTAAAACACATTACGTCAATCCTCAGACATCTTTTGTGATGGTAAGTAGTGATCTTTTGCTCTGGTGATTCCAGGCACAGAGATGCTGCCAGCCTTCTCGAATCACAGTGTTGACACTCACTTCTCAAGGCAAACACTATATATATATAAGGGCTTCATCATCCTGAGACTCCATGTGCTGTCTCTCCCGGACAGAAGTCTCTTTTGTAAATGTGCCCCAACTCACTGTTAATGCAATCATATGTGCATGTGACTCCAGTCATTTGAAAGCGCATTGATCCTTTGTCTCACAAGATTTCCTACAGCAAATCTAGAAGACTAAGAACATTTCAACTCAGGCCCAGTGGCTCTTAGGAGTTTCCGAAGAACGTAGGTCCCTGAGGTGGCACTTTGACCAAACTGTTTCCTAATTAAATGGCTAATTGGTTAGTGACTGGGATTTGGTCCCAGCTTGGGATTTTCCTCAGGATTCTGGGTCACTCGGGGTCCACTTTGCTGGTGCTCAACCAGACTTGCTCCAGAACTACTGGTGCATAGAACTTACGCTTAATGTGCTACCATTCCAAGCAGTGAACTGAGATTTCTGCAAACATGTCCACATGTCCTCGGCAAGATGCGTAATGACTGTATCAGACTGTGATGATAGGTCAGGTACTGCTACAGCCAACACTCTGGGGATCCAGAGCATGGCAGGTGATCCATCAGGCCACCCACACATGCAGGGCCTGCCATGTGCAAGGCTCCATGTTGTGACAGACTGGGAGAAATGTCACAGAAGCCCAGGGCTACAGCAGGCTTTCCTCCTCAAGGCGAGGGAGATGTTTTTGTGCACTCAAGACCTTGGGAGGGCACCCACATCTTCCACCTTGTTCTATGAGTTCTTCAATCCTTAGTAATTTTGATTGGCGATCCAAGCTAAGATATGCCCTCCCCGGGACTTGGCGTAGAATGAAAAAGAGTCACAAGCGGAAGACAGCTGTTGATTTTATGGGGATTTCCTTTTCCTGGGATGGAAGAAGCAGTACAGGGTTGTGGCCATAGACCCCAAGGATGGCTCCTGGGTGTGGACACGACACAGACAAGGCCCTGCTTTGTGCAAGGCAGGACACAGGAAGGTCCAAGACTCCATGCAATATCCACTGTCTGCCGCGGGGGCAGGCTCCTGCTCGCTTCATCCGAGTAGCTGCATGAGAACAATGCAGAAAGGGACAGACCGTTGAGCCAGTGAAAAGCTGGGGTTTTCCTTATCTCCAGAAGAAATAAAGTTTGGGGTTTTTGGTGGTTTTTTTTTAAGGAAGTAGGGACTTTTGGGGCACCTAGGTGGCTCAGTTAAGCGTCCAATTCTTGGTTTCGGCTCAGGTCGTATCCCGAGGTTCGTGGGTTCCAGCCCCGTGTTGGGCTCTGTGCTGACAGCCAAACCCTGCTTCGGATTCTGTGTCTCCCTCTCTCTGCCCCTTCCCTGGTCACACACTCTCAAAAATTAACATTAAAGAAAAAAAATTTTTTTTAAGAAGTAGGGACTTTTATGTATGGAATCATCCAAGAGCAGTATATTTACAATTTTTGTGGCCTCGATTGTGTTAATGAAGCTGTTATTCAAATAGAAAATGAAAACCATTGCACCGGGGAGCACACTTGGCTGAGTGTTTGGGGACAACGATAGCAGCGTCTATGCAAACAGTCGGAGTAGAATCAAGACCAGAACACAGCTGCTCGGCCGGACAGACGGAGCTGAGTCAGCCTCTCCCTTCAGCATGCACATCACCCTGGACCAGGACCCATTGTTGGGCAGGGGAGCAATGCCTGCCACGTTGCACATGATGTTGTAGACATCCACGGACCTGATTGGAGCGGCTCTGAAGTTGGATTTGAAATCTGAAAGGGAAAAGCAAGCAAACAAGTTGTCACAGCCACTCCCTGGGCAGAAAGGGGCCGAGTCACAATACGGAGGAATGACACTCAGGCTCCAGGCAGCTTTGGGACCGGAAATCAGCTCTGCCAATGGGGCGTGGCCAAGTCACTGTGACCTTGGAAGGAGATGTGGAAGGGGTAGAGCTTACAAGAGGATGTCTCTTCCTATGGCTCATGGAGATGAGTTTCTTTAAAAGACAAGTCAGCAGACTGTCCTTGTGCATAACTGTGGTGCCTTTCTGACAAGAGCCATCCTGGGGGGGGGCAGCGGGGCATCTCCATTTTTGCTGCTCATTTCTGCAGAGCACTGGAGAGCAGGTGTGGTCGCAGAAGGTTGACTGTCTTGCTGAGCTCCCCAAACCCAATTACACGGTATGCTTATCTTCCAGAACATCTGTCTAGCAGGGACTGGTTGGACAGGGGGCCCCATAGCCACTCAAGAATTTTTGTTTTTCATTTTCCTGCCCCACTGAGGTCCCAGGGCTTAATGGAATGTGAAACTGTACGGTTTCCTCTGCGCTAGCTAACTCAGAAGCAACAGTTTCTTAAGCAATGGTTTCTTAAAAAGCTCGGAAGATCAACTCAACATTCCGTGGGAGCCTTTCCCCGGCAGATAAAATACCCTAGCTGAGTGGAAAGCAAGCAAACTGGTATTGGGGTTCAGGACCCACGCGAAGCCTCCGAGGGCACTAATGGAGAAGAGTATTGTGCTTCCACCCAGAGGCGGCACCAAACTCCAGCAGGGACACGGGAATGTGAAGGGTAGGGCTGGCCCTTCGCAGCATGGTAAGTACAGAGGGATTTCAGTGGAGAGTGCACCTTCTCCTCCACAGGAGGCAAACAGGATGCTGAATGTTCAAAGAGTGAGCATATGAGTTCAGTAATGTACAGAGCAGTTTCCCTTTCGGGCCCCAAACCAGAGCTACACTGAGGTTGAATTCAAGAAGGAGACTTCATCCATCAGTAAAGGCCTCTCTGCATGAGCTTTTAAACCACGCAAGACTTGGAAAAGAAATGGGTCGTACGGGGGCTGTGAAGCCAAGTTTCCTACCTTAGAAAATAGTCCTTTATAATTGCTGTGCTAAAATGATCCCACATACTGTATTTAAAAAGCGAACAAACACCAATGGCAACATAGTCCAGAAGTGCCAACAGCAAATCCTGCTCTTATGTTAACCCTGAAATTACAGATACAGAAAGAAGTTCTATTCAGAAAACTCTGCCACAGAGTATGCTAGAGCCAGGGCAACTTCCCCGGTGATGGCTTTTGCTCACTTGGGAGAATTAATGTTGACTTCGGTATATAAGGTTAATAGGCTCTACAATCAGCCCACAGCCACTTAGTAGCTGGAGAAGCTCTGGAAATGGGTGTGGAAATGGTATGTAAACCATTGCTCCAGGAACGTTCTGTATGCTCAATAAATGGTAGTCGTTACTATTGGTAAACATGTAGAGTAAACACCCAGCAAGGGCAAGCTATGGATTGAAAATATGCACCCAGTACATTACTTGGAGAGTTCACTTTACTTTTGGGGCAGAAAGGATAAGGGATAAGGTAGCATCACCTCATGGTAAAAACTAGTTAAAATCCAGAGCCTCCCTGGAGGGCAGGATCAGGACTGCCCCAGAATCCCAGCCCTTCTTAGTACAAGGCAATTACAGGTAGGTGTCTGGTCAGACGTCCCCAGAGAAGAATCAGCTAAAGTATGAGAAATCAATGGAAAGGTTGTCCCAGTGATGTGGAAACAACTCCCCTCCCTCCTTCCAGCTTGCCAGGGGCCTGGATGTGATGGCCACACTGCCCCACCGCATGGTACCCGTATCCTTTCCACGTGTGTGGGTGGCAGACATCAGTAGACCCAACTTCTCTTTCCCTAGCCTTCCCTTTCCAAGCATCCGCATCTTTAACACGTGGAAGGAAAAACTGAGCTCAAGCTCTACTGACAAAGAAATATTAGAAAAGATTACATTTTTACATCAAAAATACAAAATTAAATCCTATGCACATAAGCAGGAAGGAGTATTGGGTTTTCTTTTCCATTCCATCTGGTTCATGGCTTCCTATTCGGCAGTGCTGGGACTTTGGACCCGATGAAGAGATGATCTAGGCTAGCATGAGAGCTTCTAGAAAATTCCGAAATAGCAAAACCAGATCCAGCTGGGGAGGACGTGGGGGCCAAGCTCCACTAACTCAAGGTGGCACTTTGAACCTGGATTGGGAATCCAAGGTAGTCCCAAGAATTTAAATTTTGTTGATACTAAAACTGTTTCTCCTGAAGACAGAAGGTTCTGTAGGCCCACGCCACGCCTGGCCACCTTGGGGCTGCTTTCCGGGTGAGGCTTGCTAGCTCACGGGCAGCTCACTGAATCACACTCCTGCTGTCTTATCTTGAAACGTGGAGCTCTCCGGGGCAAGATTAGGTTGTTCAAATTAGAAAACTGGGATTAACCAGAGAGAGGCTATCTTCCAGAATTATTTCCTTTTCTTTTTGCTGGACCAGACTTACTGACTTCTAAAGCTGAATCTGGGCAGCCGCAATGATGCCCAGCTTCCTCCCTAAGCGAGAAGCGCATACAATTAATCAGGAGGGATGTACCTCTATCTCAATGTGCAGCTAGATAGCCATTAAAGGCCTCACTCTTAAATTTTCTTCTGAGTAAACAGTGTGTAAAGCTGTTCAATCTTTCATGAGAATTGGAGCCAGAAACGTGATGGTTTGCGGGCGGCTCTCAAGGCTGCATCTGCCTGGAAACATTTTTGCAATTGGCCCAGTCCATTTTCATCAGGGTCATCTATCTGTCTATAAAAGACTTAGGCTTTTAGTTTTAAAGGAGCATATGATGGAGGCCTTTGTTGATGGACAAACTCTCCCCACTGAATTTAACTTTAAGCTAATGCAGCTTTGAGTACTTTGTTTTAAAATTTTGGTTTGAGGCTAGATTTGCTTCTGCTTTAAAATATGCCTGAGACCCTTGCTCATAAACACTCCTTCAACTGACAACTGCTTTTGCATTCCCGATCTTATTTCTGTCTTCTAGGGAAGAAGGAGGAGATGCTTTTGAATGAAAGCCCTGATGTTTAATGTTCTCCCGTATAAAGGCCATGACCCTGGAATGTCTCCAACCTAATCTAACAGTTGACCTCAACCAAGTCCTTAAGGCTCCATCCCTCATTTGCTATGTTTTCAAGCTTTTTAGAGAATTAATGTTGAATTTAGTATAAGAGGTTACATCTGACGTGAGGCTTGGCCGACCAGAACACCCACCAGCTACCACTGGTTGATGGCAACCTGCGTGGGCATGTTCTGAACTCTTTTAGGCCAATGTCGTGAACCTGGTTGGCCCTCTATGAATGTTTGCTGCTCCTGGTTCTGATGCTTCAGGATGTGGGAACTTGGGTCACATGTGGGAAAGGATCTGGACTGATGTGTTCCCTAAGCTCAGGAGGCCAGGGGCTCCTGTGGCGGATGCAGAAACTGATGTCTCATCGTTCTCTTTTGTGGGAAGTAGAGTGGCCCAAGGCAGATGAAATGAGTTGGGTTGACCTACATCTTCGTCTTGCTACAAGAAGACGAGCAGACCGTCTAGGCAACACCTCTAACCTATAATTTGAAAGGGAAGTGTGGACTTTCATGGGCTGAAACATTCTGATCTATATCTAGAAAACAGCATTTGGAATACGATACCAGGGTAGGTTTATTATATTTAATAAGGAAAGTGGACAGTAGTAAGAAAGACTAGCTTATAAGCCAGTCAACTGATGGCTGATGGCTGTAGAATGCTTCTCTCCCTCCACTTTTTGTTTTGTTTTTAAGAAAGAAGGGGATGTTTGGGTCACAGTATGATCTCCAGAGTGTGTGATAAACTTTCCCCAAATGTGAAGTTACAGTCCTCTGTCAGTTAAAGCAAATGACCAAATAGACCCTCTCCATCTCCCCTCTCTTCCATCCCTAGGAATTTATCTGGTCAAGGAAGAGAAAGTCATTCTGGCTCATTCTCAAAGTCAGTCTCAAGGTCATTTCCTAGCCTGGCCTTGAGCACATCCCAGCTTCTGGTTGGGCCCTAAACCGAATGACCCCCACAGGGGTGGGTGCTCTAGACAGGGAGGAACCCTGGAAGGCTCAGACCCTGTGAAGTGGTCACATCAACTCTGAGACTCACAGCTGTCAGCAACCTGGTGTCTGATAAGCTTTCCTGGACATCAGATAACTGTGAAATAACGTTTTGATGAATTAAGTAAAAAACGAATCACAAACATGTGGAATACATTTTCTTCACTGCACTCAAGATTTAAAATTTACAAGGAAAAGTATTTGGCCACATTTGCCAAACCTAAGAAGCATTTGAAAGCAAGCCAGCAAAAGATGTTTCATGGAGACCAGCTGGGTTTGCTCAGCTTTGCTCATAAAGAGGGTCCATAAAGAAATCGCTTCAGCCTTTACTGTTCTATCAGCCCCTACTGGAGACACTTCCTTGGGAACGGAGGACTAAAAGAATTTGGTCAGCTCTTGCCTACCGGGTCCAAAGGCCAGGAAGATGCCCCTCATGTCCATGAGTTCATTGTCATAGCCATGCCACCCACGCTGCCAGCCTTCTCTCCTGCCAGTGCTGTTCATCCAAAATGGAAGTGACTCTCGATTCTGAAACCAAGCAAAGCAGTTACATTACCCTTTGTCCCAACCATCATGATGAGTGAGCATCTGGCCCAGACTACCACCCAGTGTGGGGATTTCCTTCTCAACATTCTCCACTGGGGTCATCCAGCCTCAGCTGGATCACTTCCTTCTTCAGGTAGCTCAGACCATTGGAGGCACGCCGGTAAATTGCCAGAGAGCTCTAGTTATAAAAGTCTTTCCTTACACGGAGCTGAACTGTGCCTTGTGATCAGTTTTAGAGCCACTAAATATACCATGTTAGAGACGGAAGGGATGTTAAAGTGTATCTGTGGTATAGTAAAAGGTATATTTGGCTTTGGTCCCATGTTCCTGACCCAGAGCTCCCAAAACCCTGGGCGTGTCCCGAGTGACAGGAATTCATAATGAGCCCCTTTCTCCCATAGCCGAGTCCATGGTAATGGGATGGCTCACTGCGGTGGGGGGCTGGGCAGCTTCAGGAGGTCACTGGAGGAACCAACCACGTGATGGGGGGGTTAAAAATTTCAGCCCGTCCCCTGTGCGCTAAGGCTGCATTCAGGCTTGTGGCCAACGATGGTCACTCGTGCCTGTGCCGAGAAACCTGTGTAAAAACCCCGGAGGGCTGTGGCCTAGGGGGCTTCTGGGTAATTGAACAAATTGATGTGCTGGGAGGGCAGTGACCCCAAAGAGAGCATGGAGGCCTTATGCCTCACCCCCCCAAACTCGGCCCCAGGCCTCTCTTCCGATTGGCTGTTCCTGAGTTGTATCCTCTGTACTGAAACTAATCATAAACAGAGCACATTTCTGAGCTCTGTGATTCATTCCACTCAATTATCAAACCTGAAAAGGGCTGTGAGAACCTGCCAATCGCACATAAGTATGGGTGGCCCGGGGACCCAGGACCCCGGGGCGCGTGTGGGGTGCGAAGAGGGGGCGGCCCGGTGGGACTGAGCCCCCTGGTGCAGGGGGCCGCTCCAACTCCAGACGGTCAGTGTCAGGACTGGGCTGAATTGCAGGACACCCGACTGCTGTCAGAGAATTGCTGGAAAATACAGAGTCTAATCTAATCACCTCATTTCTCTAGCAAACCTGACAAAACCCAGAGGCCTTTCCACCCCACACACCACCCCATCTTTCTGTTTTTCTAGCTCCACCCTTGGGAACAACTTGGGATAAATTCATCCCCTCCCCTCAAACACTTGAAGATGACACTTCTGTTCCTCTTAGCCAGGGCTCTTACGTTTCCTCCAACAGTCTTCATCTGGGATGGGCTCCAGAGTCGTCACTTCTCTGTCACCCTTCTTCCCTTCAGAACTCAAGTTTTCTTGGACCACAGACGCTTACTTCTGAGACAACGGCTTAAAGAAGGTTCCGTGGGGCCTGAGGAGGCTGCGGCCAGCGGGACAGAACCCTAGCCCTCCACTGCAGACTAAACATTCTTTCCTGATATTCCAGTCACCTTCCGTGGAACAGGGTTCGATACCACAGACATTGCAAATGCAGGAAGTAGACCGACTGGTCATGAAGGACGCTTGGACCCAACAGTACCAGCAATTTATAGGTTGGTGCGTCAGACCTGTGATAGTACCATCTTGGGGGCGCCTGCGTGGCTCAGTTGGTTGAGCATCTGACTTCAGTTCAGGTCGTGATCTTGAGGTTTGTGGGCTTGAGCCCCGCATCGGGCTCTGTGCTGACAGCTCGGAGCCTGGAGCCTGCTCCGGATTCTGTGTCTCCCTCTCTCTCTGCCCCTCCCTTCCCTGCTCCGCACTCTCTCCCAGAAATAAACATTAAAAAAAAAATTAAAGACCTGTAACAGTACCATCTATTTACTTAATCAGGAGGTTACACTGACATTCACTTCGTCGTCGCCACATCCCGGTGTTGGATGATGTCATTTTCCCCACCGTAGAGTTGAAGGAACTAAGGCACAGAGAGGGTAAGGGTCACTCTTAAAGTCACACAGCTGTTGAGAGGCAGGGCTGGGATCAAACCCAGGTCATCTGTCTCCTGGTCCTTGTGCCTCTCCCACCACCCCACAGCCAGAGACCGCAGCGGTGCTCCTGCCGGCACTGACAAGGAGGTGGCCCCTGTCCCTTGCCTCTTCACCGAGTAGTGGCCAAAGTATAGAAAAGAGGTTTTAAAAGGGGATTCCAGTTTGCCAACGTTCTGCCTCCATGACCCTGGGCGAGCTACTTTTCTCAGCTCCCTACTGGATGTGATAATACCTGCCTCACAGAGTTCTGGGAGGAGGTCATGACTGTGCTACATGCCTGACACATAATAGATGCTCAGTAAGTAGCCGCAAGATGGTCGCCAGATGTCGCTGGCTGCGGGGCGAGGCGCTCTGGTCCTGTGCGGCCGGACAGTGATGGCTGCGAGCCCCGAAGTCCCCTCTGCCTATTCAGCTGTCATATCGCCCTGCGCACACATCCAGTCTCACCCCATAAATCGCTCCCTGGCATGACCGCTTTCCAAATCACACTAGATCACTGACTCTCCGTTTCCTGAATTTCCATCATCCCTCCGCCTCCTTCTCCAGCTGTAGCTTGTATCTTTGCATGGGAATGTTTTTATTAACTTACTGCACTTCTAACCTGTTGTGCTGTGTTTGCTCTTGGGTCTGCAGCGATGACCGCAGCACATCCAGCATAGCTCCGTCAGCTGATGTGAGGTGTCGCTTCCCCGTCAGGCTACCAGGCCGTGATTCCTGCTGCCCCAGGTAGCACATTTTGTTACTAAGGACGTCACGGTTGATGACCCCCACAGGACATGTGTGCCCCATGACCAAGGGACCGATGAAAGGGAGATGCAGACCCATTACCTGATTTCAGAATATTCCAGTCCAAATTGCACAAGTACAAACATACAGCCGCGAAAGCCTTGGCCTGAAGGTCACCGGGGCTCTGTCTGATCACAGGTTGAGTGCGTTCTTTTTTATTAAAGTGACAAAGTTGTCCAGTGAAACACCTCTTCTTACTGATTTGAAAAAGTAAGAACAAACTGGCAGCTTATGAGAGAAGCTGACCATGTCCCCTAAGTGACGGGACGGATCACGTTGCGTACGTGGCCTTGACTTCAAAATGGCATGTGGATGATCTTCTCCCTTCCCTTCCCTGGTGGCTTTCCCTGTCTCTGTTCACTGTCTCTGTTCCACTTCCTCATCCCAGAGGCATACATATGAGGTCACGCTGACAAATGCGTGTCACGGGCCTCTGCGCCTCCAGAGCAGAAACCCCCAGGCAGCACGTCCTCAAGGTCCTGCTTGAGGAGAGCGGACCTCGTCCTGACTCTACCAGGCCCAGGGACTGCCACATAGTACCACCTAGTGACGTCCTGGGGAGGTGCCCAGGCCCTCCAGACCTGGCCAAAGCTGAGACGGGGGTAGAGGAGTGGTGTGTGTGTGTGCGCGTGTTCGTGTGGAAGGAGGAGGGGAGCACTGCTAAGTTTGGGTCACTAAGGGAGCTGGGCCCAGGGCAGGGTGGGCAGCCGATTCCCAGGGCCGCGGGGAACACCGGTCCCGCGGCAGCGGGTGGCGGGAGGGCCCAAACAAGGCGCCCGCCCGGACAGGGTAGTTCCCCCTAATGAACAGGTGAGGGAGGGAATCCGCTCTACGAAGGCCACGGAGGAACAGGGTACTGTTGGCGAGGGGAGCCGCAGGGAAGGGTGGGCACGTCCCTGTCCCCGCGCGTGTGGGAGAAGGCAGTGACTTAAGAGGCTGTTCGTTCCGTCCGTCCTGCGATTCGAGGGACAGGCGCGGAGCTCCGGCCACCCTGCTAGGCTTTTGGGTGAAACGCCTTCCTTCACCTGAAGGAGCTCCTCTTCAGCGAGGAAAGGAGAGGGGCTACGGCTTCTGTCCCGATGCCCGCGCCTACAGGGACAGGCGGTGAGGCGGATCCGGCCCCGGGGCGCCTTTGGCCTGAGCGGAGGCAGGAAGAGCCGGCCGTGGGACTCCTGTCCGTGGGGGCGCGGGGTGCGTGTAGCGGAGGAGCCTTGGTGACGGCCGCGGGTGGCTCTGACAGTGTGGGCCCGGGGTGCCCGCGGGAGCACGGCCACACGCCCCCCCCCCCCCCCC